TTACTTTTGAACTGTTTTCTTGCATATCATGCGTGCTTGCATATGAGTGTTCCTTGTTTGCTATATCACTTGATTTATTGGCTTGTTATTATTGATTGATAATATGTTAAGTGCTTTCAATGATTGTTAAAACGAGTTTTCTAGGCGAGGGTGTACTTTATCGCACTCGACCTAAATAAATATGAAATTTTCAATGATTAATGATTAAATGCTAGTTGCGCATGAATGTAAGCCGTCTGGCTGAATTGGGTCCTGCCCTTCGTTACCGATCGACTCGAGCCAGAAGCGGACTCGGTCGGGCGATATGGTGACCCTGGGTGAATTTGGTATACTCGAGTATTACCTTGTAGTCCGGCTACGTCCGGATGGGTGGAGTCCGGCTACGTCCGGATGGGTGCAGACCGGCCAACGTCTGGAAAAAAAAAGGATGAACGAATAAAAAGATGAACGAGGGATTATTTATAAAAAAATGAACGTATCTTTTCATGAATGTTACTCTCGCTTTCCATTGTACATGTTTCTTGAATTATTGATACTCCATATTTTATGTTTTGTAAATGCTGTAATCGTTTCTGAACTTATCATTTGATCTATGACATCATTAATTTATGACATCATTGAAAAGAAATATTGTTAAACCGATTTGATTACTGATTTTCTGGTTACTCGCTGAGCTTCTAGCTCACCCCAAAAATATTTTATTCCCCTCCACAGGGCTCAAGGCGAAGGCAGGACTTGTTGTGCTTATTCACGTGAATGGATGGCCTATATCTTGTACAGTTTTGGATTTGGAATCATTTGATGTATAGTTGGGAATTAGTTTCCGCTGCATTTGTGACATGTAATTATTGGAGACTTGGATGTATATTTGTGGACCATGTGATGTATATTTGAGGTTTATTCTTGTAATTCATTTGAGGACTTTAGTGAACGACTGAGTCCCGATGAGAGCCGGGCAGGCGACCCGCCGAACCCTCTGGTTCGCCTTAGGGGGAGGTGGGGTCGTCACAGTTGGTATCAGAGCTTAAGTTTTAGATTTCTGTAGTGTATCTTAGGGTTGAAGTTTAGGATGCCGGACTGTGGGTTTGATTTGACTCTTGAGAGATTTGTGCGGGATGCCTTGACTTGATTGGTACAAGAGGGAATGTCGAGGACGACATTTTTTTAAGGAGGGGAGATTGTGACGCCCCGAAAAAAAATGAGTTTGAGAACCCGGAAATTTTCTAATTTTCTAGGGTTTATTTTTTTTAACGCCCGCCTTTTCTACATTTTCTTGATTAGAAAAATTCTCCAAATAAATTTTATGAGCAAAAATAGTTTTAAAATGATTTTTCTAATATCGGTTAGTTTTTGAGAAATTAAAAGCGTATTTTGAACGTGGGACCCGCAAGTGCGGTAAATGCATTATATTTTTTACAACTTGTTGGAATTTTGTATTAAGTGATATTATTTTACAATGTGTTAAGATATTTGTATTGGAGAGACAAAAAAATAAGATTAAAACCCTAAAGGACCATTTGTCACAAAACCATTGGACCTTGACTTTTGACCAAGACTTTTTTGATCTTTATCTTGGAAAAATTGGACAAACTTTCTTAATTTCTTTCATGCTCTTGGCCGAACCTCTTAGAGTAAAGGAGAGAAAAAATTCCTTCATCTTGTTACTTCAATTTTTGTCCAAATCTTGAGTTTCAACCGATTAAATTGTAACCCACTCCATAAAACTTGCTAGCTAAGGAAGATTGAAGCTCTTGGTGGAGTTGTTTTGGAAGAAAAACCCCTAAGTTATCACCTTTCTTGATATTTGAAGGTATCATGTCTAGTCATCCTTCCTTTGTTCTTGATTATGTTAAATTAGTGACTTGTGATGGCTAAAGAGATGGTTTGATGGATTATATCTTGAGTTGTGGTGGACTTGATGAAATTTTATAATTTTTGGGGATTTTTCTGTTTTAATATGAACATGGTTGTGTGGTTATATATGATGATTGGAAATGATATTTAATGACTCTAGGAGGTAGAAAAAGTGATTAATTGCAACCAATTTCTGTTTTGGACCAAAAATTGAAAAGTGAGGGTTTTGTGATGAACATTCTGTCCGAATATTTAGGTCCTAGATAGAGGCTGAATTGGCCTTTGTTTAAAACATGAAAGTTGTAGGGAATGATATTTTAGAGGTGCCTACAAAATTTCAGGTCAATCGGAGTAGCGTAGAGTGAGAAAAGTCGAAATTACTATTGCTGTTCTGGTTTACCCGAAATTGGGATTTGCGACTGTAATTGATTGTTTTGGCTGGAATTGCTTCCGAATTGGATGTTGAGGCCTTATGATGAAATTTAGCCCTGTTTCTTACCTTTCAGCTGGTTTTGGAATTTCTGGATTTGGACTTGGAGAGCCTGAGTTATGATGTTTCCGCTAGAATGCGTTCTGTGAATCTATTTTTGTGATTCTGGTGTAGTATCTTGCATTTTTGACCTGGTTACACTCGAAAATGGGTTGAGTGACCTTCTTCAATATTGTAGCCCTATGTCTTAGCTTCGAAACGGTGTATCTTGTACCTTCATCCGACAATCGTAGTGCCTTTGGTACCATTACCGCAAAATGACATCAAAACTATTTTTCTGGTTTTGAGCTTAACTTTCATTTCCAAACTTTTCCCTAGTTTGACTTGTACTAGTACTACTTGGAGTTTGCTGAATGGCTATTGGATGAACTTGTTGTTGTGTGTGTACCTTTGGGTTGGAATGAGGAAATCATGAAGCCATGACGGCTGGAAAAGTAAGCAAATTTAGGGGAAGTGCTGTCCGAACTTTTAAAGGATTTGTTTGCATTGAATTTGTGATCTAAGACTTGGGTTTAAGCAAGACAATGATACATGATGGATGATTTCTGAGCCATTGAGGTGAGTGACCTCAAACTATTTCTAAAGTTATTTATGAACCGTTTTCTTTGCATTATTTACCTTTAAACTATTTCCAATATTACTTTTGAACTGTTTTCTTGCATATCATGCGTGCTTGCATATGAGTGTTCCTTGTTTGCTATATCACTTGATTTATTGGCTTGTTATTATTGATTGATAATATGTTAAGTGCTTTCAATGATTGTTAAAACGAGTTTTCTAGGCGAGGGTGTACTTTATCGCACTCGACCTAAATAAATATGAAATTTTCAATGATTAATGATTAAATGCTAGTTGCGCATGAATGTAAGCCGTCTGGCTGAATTGGGCCCTGCTCTTTGTTACCGATCGACTCGAGCCAGAAGCGGACTCGGTGACCCTGGGTGAATTTGGTATACTCGAGTATTACCTTGTAGTCCGGCTACATCCGGATGGGTGGAGTCCGGCTACGTCCGGATGGGTGCAGACCGGCCAACGTCCGGAAAAAAAAAGATGAACGAATAAAAAGATGAACGAGGGATTATTTATAAAAAAAAATGAACGTATCCTTTTCATGAATTTTACTCTCGCTTTCCATTGTACATGTTTCTTGAATTATTGATACTCCATATTTTATGTTTTGTAAATGCTGTAATCGTTTCTGGACTTATCATTTGATCTATGACATCATTGATTTATGACATCATTGAAAAGAAATATTGTTAAACCGATTTGATTACTGATTTTCTGGTTACTCGCTGAGTTTCTAGCTCACCCCAAAAATATTTTATTCCCCTCCACAGGGCTCAAGGCGAAGGCAGGACTTGTTGTGCTTATTCACGTGAATGGATGGCCTATATCTTGTACAGTTTTGGATTTGGAATCATTGATGTATAGTTGGGAATTAGTTTCCGCTGCATTTGTGACATGTAATTATTGGAGACTTGGATGTATATTTGTGGACCATGTGATGTATATTTGAGGTTTATTCTTGTAATTCATTTGAGGATTTTAGTGAACGACTGAGTCCCGGCGAGAGCCGGGCAGGCGGCCCGCCGAACCCTCTGGTTCGCCTTAGGGGGAGGTGGGGTCGTCACATATTTACCAAAGCATTACCTACTTCAACATTTGAGAAGTTGGTGAGAAAGACTGGAATGCATCGATTGGCTGACCTCAAGTAATGTCCAAATCAGGGGGAGAAATTAATACACAAGAATAGTGTACTCTTTTTCCTTCACAAAGATTTTTATCCCACTGGATTTTTCCTTAGTAAAGTTTTAACGAGATATATTTTTCATGTACACTTGACATCCAAGGGGGAGTGTCATGCAACAAATGTCATCTCTGATGTCTTGCAACAAATGACATCAGGGATAACATCATGGATGTCCAAGTTTTCATCAAAGTTCCACCGACAGCAGCTATACCTGATTTTTGCCTATTCAAACAAATAAGCAGCTTTCCCTCATTTCTATTTGTTCAAACCATCCAGCACAAACTAAGAAAAGAAAAACGCGTTCATTTCTCCTATAAATAGAAGGGCATTATATCATTAGAGTGGATCCCTTGAATCTCTTGCAACCTTGAATTCATTCTCTCTCTGTAATTCTCTAAAAAATTCTTCTAAAAAACTTATTATTCAAATACTCATTCGAGAAAATACAAAATTCTCCATTCCTTCCATTTATTGTCTTTAGTCTTATAACATTACTTCTAATTTTCTTCAATTTTATAACACATCTAAATTTGTATCACATTGTTTGAGTCCTTATTTTTCTTATTGACATCTCATGCATTGCCCACTGAGATATCATATATTTCATTTTTGCCTTCCTAAAATTAAAATGCTTATTCCGCCAGTACTACTACTCGAACCGTTGTATGACTACTATTATTAACAATATAGATAAAAAGGGAACCGCCCCCTGCCACGTTGGATGGTCGTCCGCCCATGTGGCAATTAGAGATTGGCTGGAGGTGATATGACACTTGGTTGTCCTCCCTCTTTCCCATATAGATAACTAGGAGGTATAAACCGCGCGCTGCGCGGTAGAGATAAAAATGTGTATGCCCAGTTTAGTATAAATAATTGTGAAATACTACATTAAGGAAATACGTATATAGTCAAGGACATTAATATTATTCGAAAGATGAAGAAACTGGAGTAAAAAAAAATGTAACACAACATCAGAAGAATCAAGAGATTACTGCTAGCGCACTTAGCTAACAATCTACCAGTAATTAAAGTTTACAAAAGAAAAGAACCAATGTCTTGAAGGACAGGTTTAATTAAAATTCCAAAAAAAAAAAGCTCATGAAAGTGGTTGCCCTCTCCAGCAGGCAACTACGAATCCCATCCAACAACCCTTAAACATAAGCAACAAAAATTGAAGAATCCGTTGATATCCCGAAATCTTTTCCTTCTTTTCTAGGAATATCTCTTCTGAAAATGACCACAGTCCCAGTAGACACATCACGAGGTCCAATCTCTATTCTTAAAGTACTCCCTGCAGAAAAGGTAGGTAAACTTCAAAGCACAATTGTATTACATTCAACTGTAAAATAGTATTTCTTGAGATCCATTCACATGACTTCCAAATATGAAATTGTTAACAGCAACAGTAGACGTTTCAAAATTGAAACTTCATACCCTTTCAGAAAACAAAGCCAACAATCACTGAAATAGCTCTAGTTGAGCTGGCCTTCAATAGATATCACTTGACTTGTTAATTATTCAAGCCAGTCTTCAAAACGTTTTGGTTGAGCAAATCACAATTGGAACCTAGCCACTCAAGTTGATTTTTTTTTAAAACTAATTTTAAACAATACCTCTAGATGCTCAAGTGAAGTAAGCTGACAAGTCTTAAAAGTAACCAAGCTTGGTGAGATATATTACAATTAACCTTCAGGAATCTTAAAGCTCCAAGTTAGTTAGTTTAGATGTAGTCCCGCATGCATTAACATTCCCAGGAAAAAAATCATTTGCAATGTTTGTGGCCATGCATTTGGAATTTTCCTCTCCCTAAATTTCTCTTATTGTCACTCATCCTTTGGTGGGAGAAGTCCAATGGCAAGCTAGATATTGGGCAAGATACAGAACATCTACAGAAGCAGGGCAAACCTTCATCTCCCAAAAGTTATATTTCCATCCAGGTGTTCTCTGATCAGAGTCATCAACCTTGATCTTTATTCCAGCTACTTGCAGAGTTTTCTTTCACTGATGATGTAGCATTAAGAACTATAGTTCTGTCACCTGTTTTTTTCCATATTGGGACAATCACACAACCCGAAAGCAGTCAATAATAGGAGCTATTCCATCTCAAGAAAGACAATTTTTTATGCACATAGCTAGGAAGCAGAAAGCTGTTACTTTACTGCACTGATGAGTCCAATTTCTTGACCAAAATCAAAACAAAAGTTGCAGAACTAATGTAATGCTAGAAATACAAAACCTGTCGGACCAAATAAGGATTAAAAAAATCATCTTTGAGAAAATTAATTAGCCCATTGAGTTCAAAACACAGCATCCATCCCGAGCCCCTATTCACTCTATCTTTGGGCGCACACATTAGCAAATGTAGTCGGTAAAACAACCAAAAACGTGCAATAGGCTCAGAAACAATTAATCAGTCTCTGTCAGAACACTGCATCCATCCCCAGCCCCCATTCACTCTATCTTTCGAGCACAAACATTAGCAAACATGGCCAGTAAATCAACCAAAAACGTGCAATATGCTCAGAAACAATTAATTAGTCTCTGTCAGAAGAAGATTCTCCTCTCCAAGCATGTAATGAATATGAAAAATTAATAAAAATAGAAGCTCTTGTGCAACAAAGATTTGAAAAAAGTTCAAGGCCAACTTAGGCATTTGTAAATCACAGTTAGCACTCAAGACCAGTACGAAGTCACATAAACTACTAACGCTAAAAGCAAAACAAGCAAAGGCTAACGTAAAGTAGATTACAGGCAAACATTAGTATCAGAGAAATAAAATGAACAACCAGTAGAAGACATTTTTGAATACCTGTACAGGTGCTAGCCTAGGTGGAAGCATTAAGCCAGTGCCATCCCCATGAATCATGATAGTATCTCCAACAAATCGCATGATAATAGCCCATGATGTCTGCCACACATGTTGCCTTGGTCTTTTTTCACCTGTAAGTTAAACAAACAGAAAGACTGTTTAGGGAATTGCACCTTTCATATTTCAAATACCACAAATAGAAAAGCAAAAAAATTGATGCAAAACAACTATATATAGTAGGATATTTTGCAAACGTCTTTAGCAATGAAAAAAGCTCAATAAATTTTAGCATCATCGTCAATTACACCAATTGAACAGCCTATAGAAAATCACAGAAAAGGTAAAGTGGTAAGACAAAAATTTTCTCAATACACAGTACAAAATGATAACAGACAACTTTTTAACTTGCATACAAGCAATCCTCTAGAGAAACGATAGCACAGTTCAGAAAAGCACAGATCCAGAACATAACTTGATCAACAACTACACCTTTTTTACAACTTTTAGGGATCTCCTAATTCCTAAAGAATAGCATAAAAATTCAATCTTAACTCATGATTAACTGCAATAACAAGTGGTCGTTGAACTTACCATGTAATCAGTGGTGATAAATGGATCATTGATAGCAAGATGACTCTAGCAACCAAACATCCAGTTCTTCCAAAGCCTGTTAGACAAAGACCCATAGTAATAAAATTACAAAAAAAGATATCACAGATCTCAACTTTGACAAAAAAAAAAAAGCAGAACTCATCGTCACAAAAATACACTGAGACAGAATAGCTAATCAAGAAAAGCCCCTGCGAAAAGAGAAAAAATAGAACTGTGTCCGGTGTAACTGCAGGTGGTAGTTCAAGTGGGGGATATAGGAGGTGTAGTTTTTGGCCATTTATTCATTCACTTGTGTCCACCATATAAGAAAACTCGTGTCCACCATATAAGAAAGGTACCAATGAAATTCTATGATTCTTGCGGGTAAAGAAATTCTTTGAACAACGACTTGATAATAATAATAATTAGTCATAAAGAAGGACAACAATTCATGAAATTCTATGATTCTTGCGGATGTTTATATATGAGATTAAATACTCTAGAAAAGATGGGAAACGGATAGGTTAAATAAAAAGAGGGAAAAAAAAAGGAAAAGCAAAAGAAGAGGATAAAGACTAAGAGTAAACAAAGTATGTACCTTTTGGAAAACAAACCTTTGTATAAGAACCCAAATTGCCACCATCGTCTTCTTTTTTAATTTTTTTTCCTTTTCTGTTTTTCACAGACAGAGCTAACTGCTGAAACATTTATCCCTCTTCGTTCTCCGGCCACTCCCCTTCCTGCCAGCCGGTGGAGCAGATGATTCCGATAGCCGAAAATAACAAGAGAAAAGATGAGAACCTTCCCATTTACAATAGCAGTCGAGTACTTTTATCAGTATATAAATTAATTAACAAGCAACGGAGCTATTGGATATGGATGAAAATAAGAGATGCCTCCCAAGTAGCAATCACAAGACATTTGGTCTCAAAAAAAAAAAAAAGAACAAGTCAATACCTCAAGCAAGCCGTCTAGCCGAAACCTGACCCCAGCCGGTGGAGCAGATAATTCCGATAGCCGAAAATAACAAGAGAAAAGATGAGAACCTTCCCATTTACAATAGCAGTCGAGTACTTTTATCAGTATAAATTAATTAACAAGCAGCGGAGCTATTGGATTTGGATGAAAATAAGAGATGCCTCCCAAGTAGCAATCACAAAACCTTTGGTCTCAAAAAAAAAAAAAAAGAACAAGTCAATACCTCAAGCAAGCCGTCTAGCCGAAACCTGACCCCTCCCAAAATCAACGCCAAGAAAGAATTGAAGTGGTGGTGGTGGTAGTTGTTGTTGGGGCTTGGGGGAATTGGGGGATTTGAGAAGTGGTGGCCGAGAAGAAGCAAAGGATCAAGTTTTCTATTCTGTAGATAGATAGATGAAGATGAAGAACAAAAGAACAAAAAAGAGAATAAAGAAGGAAGAAGATGATTGGAAGCAGAAGCGGCGGAGGTCTAAAGTAGGCAAAAGAAGCAGAGGAAACCCTAATATGTGGAACAACTTTTTATTTTGGTGGCGCCTTGCGTGAAGAGTTTAACATTTTAACGAGCTCATAAAAGACAGGGCGACCCACGTGCCGCGCACATGGGAGGACGACGAAACTTTTGGCTGAATGCCATTCGCACGTTATCAACCTATATAGTAAAAGAGCGAATGAAATTGCTAAGAGTTGTGGTTGCTGTGCTGACATGGCTGGATTTTATTGGCTGGCTGGTGGTCGTCACTCACGTGGGAGTCGCGTGCTTTTGCTGGGAGGAGAAGTGCAATCCTTCTTCTTGTTGCCTGAGAGAAGAAAACTTGGACCTTTGGTTTTTGAGAAGGAACGTTTCTCTGTATTGCCAGCTGAGTAAGCTTATTATGACGGTTGCTGAAAGTTTGATTGATGACAACTGTTGGGTGATGGGCTCAATGTGGGTTGGTATGATTTGACGTTATTGCCCTTCTTTTAAAAAAGACAGATGCACCGTTCTATCTTGCTCAGCTCCTTCCTCTCTGCGATTTGGTGTGAAGGAGCTTCAGCTCTGCTCTAGAGAGCTGCCGAAAAAACACTTTTTGCTCTCTCCTTTGATTGACAAGACTGAAAACCCTTTGTTTCTCCGATGTATCCAGAGGTTTCTATGTTTCAGGTTCCGCTTTTCCCAGCTTTCGTCATCATGATCCGCGGTAATTGTGCCTCATTTTCATTGTTCTTTTCTGGCCCTCCAGCTGCTTGCTTCCTCATTCTGAGCTGCTGCCTCGTTTCTTTTTTTCTGCTTTTTCTTTCCTTTGTAACAATTGCTATCTTGCTGCCTCCTTGCGTAAGCTTTAATTCCGCTACTATTGTTTGGATTTAACTTCTCCTGATTGTGTTCCCGTTTCCTGTCGTGCTTATTTTGGTTTTTCCTCACCTGCAATTTATGCCATCCTGAGCTGTTACTGTTGCGTTGCCTCTTTGCTTTGCTTTGCCGCTCGTTTTGCTTCTCAAGCGCCCTGCTTAAATTTACCTTTCTGCCACAGCCTTTTCCCCTGTGTTTTCCATTTGTCCTCCTGTCAGTAGTTCTTGCATCAGTTTTTTTTTTTTTTTTTACTTTTTGTTCTGCTACTGTTACTACGTGCACGTTATCTTGCCCCCCATTCTGTTTTGTGATTTCCCCCTTTTCCCCTAGCATTTCTTATATTTTTCCCCACTATACTCTCTGGTGCTTGTTGTCCTGCATTTACTCTTTGAGTTTTCCATTTTTCCTCCTGTCGTCATTTCTTGCGTCGCTGTATTTTTTCCCCTTTTGTTTTGCTGTTGTTGCTACATACAAGTTATCTTGCCCCCCTTCTATTTAGTGATTTTCCCCTTTTCCCCTTGAATTTCTTATATTTTTACCCACTTTGTTCTCTGATGCTTGTTGTGCTGCATTTACTTTTTGATATTATATTTTCTTACTCTTTTTGCTCTCACTGGCTTATTCAGGTGTTGTCCTCTTCTGTGTTGCTCTGCTGTTGGGTAATAAAGGCTTGTTATCTAACGTTAAGGTGCCATTACTTATTCTCCCTTCTGTATGTGCTTTTACCTTGCTCGTACCCAATAATCATTTTGCTACATGCTTTTGTTACCTCGCTTTTAGCTGTTGCCGCCTTTACTCAGCCTTTTAACTCCTGTTTTCTTATCTGTTCTATTCTATGCTGCTGTGTAAGCTCTGTGCTTTACCTTTTCTTCACTCTGTTTCTTTTTTAATATATTGGCTGAATTCTATGGTGTTGTGTAAGGGCTGTACTTTAGCTTTTCTTTACTCTGTTTTGTTTTGAATGTCTGCTCAGTTCCATGCTGCTGTGTAAAGGCTGCGCTTGAGCTTTTCTTTCTCTAATTGTGTTTACTCATTCTTTAATATTTTTACATCTTCCATTTACTTCTCCGCACGATTATCATATCTCCACTTCAAAATTTGGACATTTTCTGGGCAACACAAAAATAACACCGCGCGGTGCGCGGTGAACCCCTCCTAGTCTACTTATGTTGAAAAGGGAACCGCCCCCGCCACGTTGGATGGTCGTCCGCCCATGTGGCAATTAGAGATTGGCTGGAGGTGATATGACACTTGTTGTCCTCCCTCTTTCCCCCGATAAATCAAACGACGTCGTCTGTTCCTTCTTCTTTTTCTCTGTCATTCAAAACGTAGCAGCATCAATCAATGTCAAGAGCTCTTGAAGACTGGTTCCTATACAAAACTCCATTTTGTCTTTTAGACAAAACTCTATTTTTTCCATGAGACCCGGAAGTCTCCCCTCAATTTCCGGCATTTGATTGTACTTGGTAGAGATTGTAATCTCGATTGGAGGGTCCAGATTTTTTTCTTCTTCTGAGAAGTGGGTGCTTAGAATTTGATGGACGATGGGCTCGAGATAGAAAATGGTTGGTAATCTTCTTCCCCTTCCACTCCCGGTTCTCTCTCTTGTTCTTCTTCATCTTCCTCCCGGTTCACGATGGACGATAAGTCTCTTTATGGGTCTCTTTTTTTGTTTGGCTACTCACAAGTTTTATTTTCTCCCCTTCATTTTCCCTTTTTTTTAGGCATAGTTTCTTCCCTTTTTGTTGCCGTGACTTTCGTGTAATTTTTTTTAGGGTAACTCAAAAAATCTTCAACAGCCTCTAAGAAGAGGAAATATAAGGGTTTTGTGTTGAAGTTTTTCTTTTGGGTTCCATTTGGTTTGTTTCTCATCATTTCATCCTGTGCTGGTTTCTTTTTGCTCATACTTGTTTGCTGTGTTTGCTGGTGATTTCAGACCCCAACAGCTCGAGAATAGGAGAGTTTTGCAGCGATTTGGTTGACGAAGAAGAGGATGAAAAAAAGAGATTGAAGAAGGTCTGAAATTCTAGGGCTTGTAGCGGCCAAAACTTGATAGGCATGTGGATTCCTAAAGCGCCTGATAATTTTTTTCCCACAATTCGGGAAAATTTTATACTATGATGGCTCTAAAAATACATGAGTTTTCAATCTGAATCTATCAATTTTTTGTGCTCGCCCAGATTCTTCTCTCTCTCTCTCTCTCTCTCTCTCTCTCTCTCTCTCTCTGTATATATGGGTCTCTATTGGTAATCAGTTTTTCCATCGCTGCCTTCTGGACCTGGTGATGAGATCTTCTCTGAAGGTTCTTTTTTATTTTTATTTGTTTTGATAATTTTTCCTTTTGTTGAAATTTCTTTAATTTTTTATTAGTTATATTTTGATTTTTTTTCTTGGTTCGATTTTTAAATCTTAAATTTTGGTGCTCTTTTTTTTTTTTTTTATCTGAAGCAAAAATTTGTGCTAATTTTAGGGGTTCTATGGTGAGGTTTTACGTTATATTCTTTGGGATTTAATTTTTGTGAGGCATTATGTTCCAGCCTTTTGTATTTAATAGTAAGCGAATATTTGACCGTCTCCTTCTACTAATATCTATTTCATTGCCATTTGTAGTCTAAACATCATCTTGCATTTTTCCCTTGCAGAAGAGGTTATCCTCGATTTTGTTACATTACAGGTATTTTGCTCTCTTTTTTTGTAATAATTTTTTTATTTTCCCTTCAATTGTTGATTTATTTATGATTATAACCTATTAGGTGTAAGGTTCAATAGTGGTTATCATGGATTAGTTGACCTTCAAAATATTAGGTTGTGGCATGTTTCCTTAAATCTTTGAAACATGAAAGTTGATATAACGTTACTAGAATTTGCGGTCATTTGAGCATTTTATGGATGTCTAGCTTTTTGTGTCTTTCGTATACAAGATTGCTTCTTTTCTTCCCTTTTTTGATTCTAAATCCCTGTAATAATACAATGATAGACCAACTGTTTGCTACATTTACTTATTTCTTGATATGTTGTCGTTGGACCAACTGTTTGCTACATTTATATATTTTTCAAATTCTTGATGCATTTCTGCCATGAAAAAGTATGTTGAAACCGAATTGCTCTTTCATTTGTTGGTTTCAGAGGTTTGTCATGCTTTATGCTGATAAAGATTGAAAGATTGTTATGATTTTCTTCGATGCATCTGGAAGATGCTTAAGCATTGTCTCACAGTGATGAAATAGGATTGCATCTTTCTGCTTCTAGCATATGTAGCAATGATTCCTCAATACGAAACTGAAAAATTAGTGTTGAAACCAGCTTTATGCGCTGTCTCACTGTCGTGAAATAGGATTGCGTCTTTCTGCTTCTAGCATATGTAGCTGTGAATCCTCAACACAAAATTGAAACATTAGTTGAAATTAGTTTTATGCCGTTGTGGATTTCAGAGTTTTATTGGTCATTCACAAAATGGGATGAATTCTCTGGAGAGGCGCGTAGATGGTCTAGAGAAAGCTCTTGATGTGATGTGCAATGCTCTGGCAAGATCAACAGGAAAGATTGCAGACACTGATGCTACAGGAAATACATGCTGCCTGGTGCAGCATTCTTGAGTCCTAAGTTCTGGAGGAAAAGTGAAGCACAAAATTTCAGTTGAAAGATTTCTTTTTCAAACCAATACCAGTCACTTAATTATATGCCGAACAAATATGTAAATTCTGAATCATCAAAACTGGAGAGTCCTGTGAGAACCCGTAATCTTTCCATTTTCTAGGTTTTATTATATTTCCAGGTTTTCTTATTTTCAATGGTTTGTTTTCTGCACTTTCTGTATCCGGAAAATTTTCTAGATAATTTTTATGAGTAAATATAAGTTTTAGATGATTTTTCTAGCATTGGTGAGTTTTTAGAAAATTAAGAATAAATAGTGGACGTGGGACCCACTAGTGCGAAAAGTTCGGAAAAATTCGGCCAATAAGGTTAAGTTTTGGATACTGTATATCATTTATCGGGTGTTAAGAGATAAGTAGAGTGTGTGAAGTGATTGATGTGAGAGAGAAAAGAATGATAAGGTTGCATTGAATAGAGTGACACATGTCACTTTCTTATTGGATACCTTTTTAAGAATTACTATTCCAAATTTTGACTTTTGACCAAAGGTTAAATATCTCAAAAATTCATTAAAATTTCCTCATTTTCTCTCCACCATAGCCGGCCCTCTTAAGCTCCAAGGAAGACAAAACTCTTCAACATTCAAGCTTCTAACAAGACCAAATCCACCAACTCATGTGATTAACTTAGTTTTTGCT